TTGAAGTCTATGGAAGGGGTGGCTGGGTGAACTTGAGTGTACAATAAGTATTTTTATGCTCCACAATGATTTATGATAGTTGCGTAAAAATATATGGTTCCTTACTTCCTTAGCACACAGACTTAGAAAGTTAGAACTGATCTCAACATTTTGATGTCTGTGGACTTATGAGGTGATTGCGTGAACTTATCGCGCCTTTCTCCATTAGTATTTTGGTTTTACGGACCCTATGCAGAATTGTAATTTGTTTTTGCGAAATATAATGTAGGTACGTACAACCTACCTAAGTAATAAGTTGCAAAAAACATTGCATCCCAAAAGTTGGGAGTTACGGAACACTGACTTGAGCGACGTACTTATTAGTCTGTAGTCGATCAGAAAAGTCGTGTTGCCAACTTTACTCACGTAATAAAATAAAAGTCGTTCCTGTAATCTCTTTTCCTAAAACTTAATATTGTATAATAGGTAGGTACATAATATAATATAGTATACTACATATATTATTATATTATCACATTAAACAATACTAATTATAGGAGTTCGTGGTTTATAGGACAGTGTTTACTGTTTAGTGTTGTCATATACTTGTCTCGTTTAGCCCTCTAGTTGCATCACATTAAATAACACAAAAAGAGAAAAATTGCTGTCTCTGGCAAACAAATTACTGGCAGGTAAACCGCATCGACTGCTCCGAGAGTAGTATAGATACATAAAAGTAAGTAGGTACGTAACTAATAATTCGTATGTGTTTCGTTGGTTATTGCATGATTAGTGTCTTTCTGTAGGCCATGAGATATATCTTTACGACTATTTTAGTAAATCAACCTATTGGTTTTCTAGAATATATACATTGGTAGTAAGCACTAATGCAGTAACGCCGTCACGCCGAAGGTAGTGTTTATTCTTCATATTTTTTTTATATACTTTTTATTTATACAATTTGTTAAGGCAGTAGGTTACTATCTACATTGGGCCAGACAATAGAGACTGAATTTTTGAAAATAACGGAAAAAAACACAACAACGATTATTATTTTTTTAAAGTTTTAATTAAATATGTCCTTAACATACTAAAAGTCACAATGGATCGGACTAAAGCATTTTTTTATAAGCTCATGAAAGTCAAAAATGTGTGCTGTTTTGAATATTTCAAAAATGTTTACAAATATTTAAAAAGTTTGAAACAAAAGTTGTTTATTAGACGATTTACAAAAAATTTTGTCATTTATTTTTTTTATTCAAACAAATATTAATTGGTAAGATATATTTGTTTAAAAATAAATATTAACACTTAAAAAATAATGAATAATTTTCTCTTTTTTTTTTCTTTTTCTTTATTAAATTTTGTGAGCACCGTATCAAATATAAATCGTATGTCTTACAAACTTAAAGTTGCTTGCGAGTAAAATTATAAAACTATAGAGTATAGACACTACGTTTAAAAACCCCAAACTAAAATAATATTAGGATATAAGAACTACAAAGGATAGATTAAAACACTGTTTTTTAGATACGAGCAGTTTTGAATAAAATTTTTGTTTAATCTGTGACACGACCTTGTTAAATTAATATATCTATAACAGTTATGAACTTAAATAAACTAAATTTGGTATCAGTGATATGAGTTTATAGTATGATTAAACAGTATATTAAATTTTCGTTTAAAATAAAATACAAGGTAGGTATGTATGTGTACATCATTATCTTCCTTCATATGCCCATGAAAAATTTATGTTTTTTTGGGGCCTTGACATCAAAAAGGTTGCTGAACCCTGAATTAGACTAATAAGTGATTAATAAATGTAATATTATCTTATGATAAATTTTTATATTTTTATAGGTATATATGGCATAGTAAATTAGTATATCACAGTTTACCTGCATGTAACTATGTACAACTACAAAGCATACTATTAAACTATTTAAACTATACGTAGCTGTTAGCTTCTACCTACCTATAAATCATAATTTAATAATTACTAATAACTAATAAGTAAAAAGTAAAAATAAAAACAACCAATAAATACATTCATCGCTCTGCTCAGAATTTAATAATAATAAAATAAGTGAGGTCACCTACCCATGTTATTCCTTTTAATAGTGATAATAAAATAGAGGTATACTTACTGGCTACTGCATATATAATACTATATATAAGGTACCTACATAGTTAGGAACTTAGGCGACAGACATTGTGCATATATTTATAATTTAAACTCCCAGGCCCAGGGGTGGTGAATCTTTTACGGGTCGAGTGTCGAAATTTAAAAACCAAATTTTTAAAATATAATTTCTGGCCCCCTCCCTCCAAAAAAGGTCTTTTTACTGAGAGTAAAAAAAAATAACAATAATTACTATACATATATGAGTTTATTTGTTATCTGTTGTTTTATGAAATGCAGACAAAATATTTTAATTAGTCTTAACGTGCTATTTTAGAAATTTGGCCAACGTGCCACTTCTGGCACTCGTGCCATAAGTTTGTCACCTCTGTCCTAGGCCCTAGTTTACTGAATTTTCGGTTTAAAATTATTACGAGTTAAAATATCTCTGTAATAGATTAATATTTATAGTCTTTTATGTAATAAGGAAATAAAAGAAAGACCTTCTTACAAGTGTTCACTTTATAGTTCCTATCGTTTCTACATAGATACGTAATATTTTAGCTTCTGAGCGGAGCAGTGAATATAATATTGTATTGGTAAGTATTTGATCTTACAATGATGTATATTAGATTTTGAACGGAGTGATGATTGTATTGTTTTTTCAATGATATAGGTTTATTTCCTGTCTGTTATCATCTTTAAGGCAGTAAAAATTCTTCGATTGGTTGGTACTTTAGGGGAGAGGGCAAAATTAAATAATTCTTATCAGGTATTTAATGCTTTTCATAATAGCTTGAAATAGAAAAAAATGTGGGTAAGTATATGTCACTCTGCTGTACTTTAGGTGTCTAAGAGGTCGCTGTAACGGATGGTATTAAATTTGAATTCAATGATACAAATAATTGTATAGTGTATTCCTATACGAAAAACGATTCTGAGCGGAGATGGTATGTCAGTTTAGGATATTTTATATTATCATTACCTATTATTAATATGATAGCTGGTAAGTTGAATTAATATTATTCTTCAATTATCAGTGATGCTGGAAAAATATTAAATATACCTACGTAAAATTGGGTTGTTTTGGAACCGAATTACAATAAAATGATAAACGTTATTCTTTGTGTTATTATGCAATTTTGTCCAAATTTTAACTTAAATGTCTGTAAAAAATAACTATATTTTCTATTTATGGAAAAAAACTGCTTAAGTGTACCTCGTACATTTTCAATCCTTGGCTATAAAAATTTAAAATGTTATACATTTTTAACTAGAAAATAATTTTCAATTTTCAATTTAATAAATATTATCAACATTTTAACTTTAAATGCTTTTAAAAAAAAACCCCATATGTATGTTTAATATTTTTCAACTGCTATTGTAAGTATATAATATATATCATAAGTCATATATTACATTTTCATGCTTTTTGACCCAACCAATACAATTTTATTGACATTTATAGAAAAAAAAATGATAATTGAAAATGTCCGTCAACAGCTTAAAACAAGTCAAAATATTTTGAAAATTATATCAAGTATATGAATTAATAAAATAAACATTTGGTGTGAATTTCAAGTGTCTGCAGTAATTCTCTTTTGAATTAGGTACAACAAAATAAGAAAATCGCTAGTCAGCTTCAAACGTTCATAAAAATTTAATATGACTATCCGGTAGAAATTTTTTGATAAAGGTAGATTAACCTTGTGAGGAATCTTGTATCAATTTTTCAAATCTTAGGTATAAAAAGAAAATTTTATGAATTTCTAACTAAATATAATTTACTAATTTTCATGATTTTTACGAATTTTGTCAAAATTCTAAGTTTAAACGCTCATGAAAAATTATTGTAGATTTACGCTCAATTTTTTTTTTAAATTTTCATAGACCACAACTTACAAGGAATCTTGTATCACATTTACAAGTTTTTTGACCGAGCCAAAATTTTTTTTATCGACTTAAGTTTAAAAAAAACAAATAATAATCGAAAATTGCATGTGCCTATAAATAGTTCAACACAAATCAAAATATTTTGAAAATTGTGTGGTGTATAGAAAATGCTAACACAAATATTTAATGAAAATTTCATGTATTTACAAAATTGATTTTTTTGAAAACTGGTTTGGCGTAAAAATTCCCGTTTTTCCTTAATTGTTTGTTTGTTTTTCCCGTTGCTTTTGAAAACTATTGGAAATTTTAAATGTTAACCTCTCGAATGCGTCAACTAGATTCACTTTCCTATCAGAAAAGTTGCTGTTGAAGAAAATCGAAGCACTTTTACTGTAAAAAACCGCGATGACAGACACAAAAAAAATAAAGATAAGAAACACACATCGTTGTAAAATCAGTACATTCATTATTCATTGCTCCGCATTTTCAAACTTTAACCACTCACCCAAAGGAAATAACAAAAAAATTCTCAAACTATTAATTAACTTACTAAATTTGTCATAAACAAAACTGTCTTTTGGCGTCTTTGCAGCGACCTACTCAACGACACTCGACGAGGTATATCGACTCTTTCTATACAGCAAAGCGGTTACCTACTTTCCCCTTTTTTGTTTTATTTTCACATGATATGCTAAATTAAATTGGTTTTTGACATGAGTCAGTATAATTTCATTAAATACCTATTATAATTTTATAAAATGGATAGGTACCCAACATGTCTTATGATTAATTATTTGATTTCCATAATTTTGATAAAATATTTTGTTATTTCATGATATTTTACTTTGCAAATATTTCACAAAATACCTAATTGCTGCTTATGTAAGTAATAATGATAAAACATTTATTTATATAATAAGCCTGTTTGTGACTTGTAAGTTGTATTATCTACTTAATCGTATTACGTAAAAAAATACTTTTAATAATTCTTAATTTATAATTTTACCCTTTTTGTGCTCTTCTTTTTTATCGTTCTCCATTATATTATGATTATGGATTATATTTTCTTAAACACTTCAATAATACAATAGTTAATAACTTGATTTCGAAAAAGTACATTATATTTATATTAACATTACTCGTACACGACCAACTGAGTCAGTTGAACTGACAACTGTAAGCAAATACAAACTAACGAATTTCTTCGATAGATCTCTCATAAGTAATATGAACGTCGTCCGTTCGATTTCCACTTCCATATTATTGGACTTTCATAGTTTCATTGCAGCGTCATTAAATATGATCATATAAATATTAATCATTGAATAATATTAACATATTATATTCACAGAACCATTTGAGCTGATAATAATTTTTGTTATTAAAAGATTATATTATATTTTGACTTTTGTGTATAATACTATAATATAATATAGGTTTTAAACATAACAATGATAATAGTCAATAATCAAATTATGTTTTTAATCTTTCCTTTTTATGAACTATGGATATAAAACAATATCAACGTCGTAATAATGTACCTACCTACTATATACAACGATTAAAATGCATTAACAGCTGGTATACTATTAATTGCATTCGGGCGTGATCATGCAATTTCATTATATACCTACTTAGTAAAAAAACGCACTATATTATTTTATACAATGTATGTGTGTTATAATGTTGTTGGTTTACTTGCACGTTTTTGTCCTTGAGATGGTAAAAAGTAAAAAATGTGAGTCATAGTTTTCGAAAAATCAAGTAAAATAATACCCCAGGTTTGCAACAAATCTAGTTCTATTATTATTCTAGATAGAGAATATAACTATATAAGACTTGAATTGTTATCATCTGTTGTCCAACGCTACCTATCTTCACACTTATATATATATTAAATAGGGAATGGCAATTAATTTCTTTAATTCAGTGGTTCCAAACCTTAAGTCCCAAATTCGGGTCATGGAGGTTTTTATAGTTTGTCACAAGTGCATGGTATTCGCATATTAAAGAATGAATATCATAGGAAATCGAAATACAACTAGTGTGTGTAATTTCAATTTTTCATTATTTTAAATCATAATTTAGTGTGAATTATGTATGCAATTATTTTGATTTTTTTTAAGGTTATGAGTAGCGAAAAATTAAATTTCCGATTTTAGGACCACTCTCATAAAAAGTTGAGAACCATTGCTTTAATTAAATTATGAAATGTTGGATTCAATTAATATAGATAGCATAGGTAACCGGTAGGTAAGTGCCAAACCAAAACATGTGTGCTCACTAAAAATCAAAATCTTGTTTCATTTTCATTTTTCAATAGGAGGTCCTTCCCTTTCTTTTAATTAAACTTTAAAGAAAATAAGAAAACGTATGTACGTAGCCACGCAGGTACCTAAGCATAAAATATCAACCCATTAAACTCAATCAATAGGTAACATATTTCGCAGAGAAGGTCACAGTTTACACGTAGCTAGACTTTCCGATAATATACTGTATAAATACAATTAATTATAACATCAGACTATCAGAGTAATACCAATTAAAATAATTAACCATCAAACTGTTACAAATAAGACTACTATATAAATTGTGATGAATTTATTATGATTATATAATACTTAAATTAATGACATAAATGATGCGAAATGTATCTATCTAACATGGACTAAGATAAAGATATATATAGGCATATACGAATACGATATACCTTATAGTCCATTTTACGCAACCAAGTATTGTATATTATGCACTATAAAGGAGCCCATTGGTAACATTTTAGTGGTGGGGGTAAAATCAAAAATTGCTCAAATGTAAACAATAAAGGTTTAATGTAATTTCAATGTCTATTTCATATTCTAATAGTGATTAAGAAAAGTAATTTATTTCATGCTGTCTAGGTAATTAGGACCTAGCCACCTAGGTACCTAATATCATGATACCGTCGATACCTAGTATTTATTAAATTATAAGTTCATATTATTGTTCCATAGCGGAAGGGGGACAAGTTGCCCGTCGTGTGTCCATGGTATATCTATATAATATATACTAAACCAGCAACCATGGCAAATTACAAAGTACTTTTATCCTCATTTCCGATTTCCGAATCATCGTAGCCAGATAAATAAAATTATTACCTATTCTCATTCCTCAATTACAGTGGAACCTCGAAAACTCGATTGAATGTCTTGGAACCATATTCAACCACCTTACTGCCTGTTGGCTTGCTACGGCGCTACCGCAGGGTTCTTAATAATTTCACTACTGTATCTATTAAATATGATTTACTACTATAAAAAATCGAACTAAAACAATAACAGCAGTTGTAACAATAAACAAATTTATATTATTCTCAAAGGCAATAAAATAATAAAGTTATAGCAAATACTTTGAAATGACAATTCTGGAAGGCGCCCTAGTTTTTGGTGAACAATTTATTATTTGATAATTTCCCCTCCCTATATATCAGTACGACAGTGCTACAGAAATTGTAATAGATATAAGTTACGCCGTCTTATGATTTACGTTATGAGGTAAATTATTAAGAAACTAGAAATCTTGAGAAATAATAATTTTAAAAATGTTTATTTTCATCAATTAACCGAGCATACTTTCAAGTGTCAATAATAAATGCTCTATACCCGTTATGAAATATTTGGAAAACACTGGTTCTGGGACACTGATTTTGACACTAGTAAATTAATACTTCCGGTATATATATATATATAGGTATTATAATTTTAAAGTATTTGGTTATAGCTGCTGCTGTCAGTTTTCAGAACAAGAAAAGTATTGACAATTATAAAAGATTAAAAAAATTTCGTGGTCTGACAAGGTTCTACAATAATTTCCGCATACTACTTATAATTATATATTTTATTTACATGGTAATTCATTAAGCATACGCCATTTTATATTTTAATTACATCTACATTCATTCAAGTCCTGATTTTTGGAATTTTTTTATATGTCTTATATTAATATATTACTATTACCTAAACACTTGATATGTTTTTCTAATCATATCTTATGAACTTATTAATACCAATACACCATGAATAATTTTATTCTTATTTCATTATGTTTAATAATTCAGAAAAGAATTGTTCAAATTATCGATTTTAGATTTAAATAGGTACATAAACATTTTCAAAAAAAAAGGGTAATAGCCAATATTATTTTATGATAAAAATTTCGTCTCTAAGTATACTCCAGAACTTGAATAGATGCATAATTTCAGGACCAGAATAAAAGGAACCATGCTTGGTGAATCACCCTGTACCTATACCTATATTATAATATTATATAAATATATAATATAAACTTAGCTACTCTCCAAGCTGACATATCACTTCAGAAGTACTGAAAAACTCAGTCCTTGCTGTTATTACTTATTAATTATAATACAATTTACCCACCGAAGACATTCACGCAGTACGATACGACGAATTGAACAGTACTTACATAGCATTACGTTGCTAATTACAAAAATTAAATACCTAATGATAATACAAAGTGATAATTAAAATAAAATTACGAAATTCTGACCACAAAACTATTCGACGCGGGAAATAATCTCGAAGGCTGATGTAGGTATATATATTATGAAATCAAATTTAACACAAGATAAATGAACAAAGGATAAGGAAGAAATTTAACAAATATTCTAGCGTATAGTAGGTACCTACCTATATTTATTTATATAACATGCAATAATATACAGCCATGCAGGTATATGTAATACCTAGCGTATTGTGTAATATTAATATATTATAGGTATTAGGATAAGTAGGTACTAATATCATATAACGTGGAAACTCTCCTAACTTTTCTGATTTCTCTAAAAACAATATCTGAAAGTTTCAACTAACTTGGTTGAGTAGTTTTTGAGTCTATACTCTATAAATTCCAACCATACAGACATCGCCTTTTGATTGCTATTTGAGATTGAAATATCAAATAATTAATTAAATATTATTTTATTGTATAAAAAGAATTCTATAGCAACGAAAGGCGGGTCGGCTTGTCCGTTTCAATTTTTTTAATTTTATTTCTGTAACCAAATATGAATGCCAACCTTTTACATAACGAAAACAATTATTCAATTTTCCCGATCCAAAACGAAATCCATGTGTGAGCTACTCTATATAGCAAAAACAAAAAGGGTGAGTGATTCGTATTCCAATGTACATAGGTACACATCGTTTTATCTACGATGCAATTCAAAACAATCACACATTTAATGTAAATTAATGTATACATTTAATAAAAAAGATTTTATACTGCAGTTGAATTATATAGGTATATATTTATATTTTTGTATCATATAATTTTTGAGTGTACCTATTCTGTTGTTAATCATGTAATTGTTGACTTGTTGGATCGCGGATTGAGTTAAAAGTTATACCAATAGATTCTTTGAGTCTTGGAGTAGGTATATTTATAGCGCATTTTTTAGCTCTCGATTAATTATATAATGTTTAATGTATTATAATAAAGATTATTTATATGGTTATATATTAAAATGATGTAGCATATCTGAGGGAGGGTTTATAATGGTTCAGTGTGGGCTAAGTCCTCCTATAAGCTTCTCCACTCTATTTGAGCCCATCGCGGATAGATACAAAAGTTTGGAATTTATAATTAATAAATAAATAATTAAAATACCAACTCAATATGATTCAAAACTTGTGTTCAAGTCGTCATTTAATAGTCGGCGTTTTTATTTTGTTCAAAATTTCCCTTGACAAATTCCCGTAGATCTACCCATCTTAATCTCCATTAATTCCATTAAACATGAAATCTCCCAGAACGATTAGAAATTTTCACAAAATCGACCAACTAGTTTTTGAGTAAAACCTATATACAAGCTACAAATATATACATTCAACTCTCATATTTGTTTTAAGACATATTTTCTTTATTCGAAACCATAAACGCGACGATTTAATGCATGCTTTTACCTCATCTGCCTGAGTAACCAATGCCAATAAATACTAATTTCTCCTATTAATATTATAGACTGGAGTATTATAATCTGCAACCTGTAACCAATAGCAAGAACATTTATAAACAACAATTTCTATCGTAAATTCCAAAATCCTTTCTTAAATTTTCAATCAAAAGTGGGTGTCTCTTTGCCGTACAGTAGGTTACATGTATAGTCACTGTAATGGATGGTGTTAAATTTGAATTCAATGATATAAAATCATTTTA